CCCAGCACTCAGGAGGCTGAGGCAGGAGGATCACTGAGAGTGCTAGGCCAGCCTGGGCTAGACAGTGAGTTCAGTGAGTTCAAAGCCAGCCTGGACTACACGGCAAGACTCTATCATCTCAAAAACAAACAAAAACAAAACAAAAAAATAAATACATGAGCATGAGACATTTTTTTACAAAGCTCCCAAATAATTTTTTTGTAGGTACATCATTGATAGCAAGAGATAAAACACGTAATTCTCCATTCATTTTCCTCCAAAATAGCCTTAAGATCTAGTCCCTTGTTTCACATTGTCTTCCACGGGTCTCCTTTTCAAAGTACAAACTGAAAAAAATGAACACAACAAACTGGAATCCGGATGGAGAACTCGGGCCACTTTCAGAGCAACCCTAGTGAAGGGTTTTCTCCAGCCCGTGAATGGCTCCCTTCTTTGTCAGGGCGAGAAGAAAAGGGCTTTGATGCTCTACTGCGCGAGATATGACTAGAGAATTGTCCTCAATTATTATTTTTGAAAACAGGAATAAAAGGCCCATTGAGATTTGACTTGGGCAGGGACAGACTTGCAAAGTGCCATTTAGCTCCTCTGCTCACCTGGACAGCGTCAGCCCAAGATTCACCCAGGACAGCTTGGTTTCTGCACAAGGCCATAATGTCCAGGAGGTCAGAAACTGTTTTCCCCCCAGGACGATGATATTTTTGCCCCTAATCCCACCAAATATTCTCTTCACCACAAGATTTTCTTTTGGTTTGCTGGTCACAACCCTAAAAAAACACAGCTTCAAACAAAACTCCTTGTTAGCAAGGTACCAGCCTTACCTGTTCGAGGCCCAATGTTATAATGTGCAAGCTACAAGGGGACATTAAGGCAAATCAGAAAAAAGTAAAACTCAAAGCCAGCCACAGTGATGCATGCCGTCTGTCATCCCAGCACTTAGGAGGCTGAGGCAGGAGGATTGCTACAAGTTCAAGGCCAGCCTGGGCTGCATAGTGAGTTCAAGGCCAGCCTGACCTATATACTAAGACCTTGTCTCAAAAAACAGAAAGAAAAAAATCAAAACTCTAAATGCTAGTGGTTTCAGTACATAAGAGTGAGAATTATTCTTCTGGAAAAAGAGTATGTCTTTTTTTTTTTTTTGATACTGGGGATCAAACTCAGGACCTTGCGCTTGCAAGGCAGGCACCGGAACCACTGAGCTAAATCCTGGCCCAAAGAGTATGTCTTTTAGGCTATCAGCTCTTCATCTGGGAATCCACATCAGCAACAGCCTATGCAATTCCAATGTGAGCAGTGAGACAAAAATAAAAAACAGTATTCCCCCACCCAGTTCCCCCTCGAAGAGGAGACAAGTTAGTGAGTTCCAGACCACTCAGCACTTTTAATCGTAGCATAAGGTGTCGGGGGACATAAAGTCTTCTGTGTCCCTAACCTAAATGCTGTAATTCCTCCTGGGCCTACGAGCTGGGTCAAACATAGGCCTTGGACTTTACCGCTAAGGATTCCTGGGTCCTCGCCCCCAGCCCTTCACAGCACACGGGCAGCGGCCACACTCGGCTGGGCTGTGATATCCGAGCCCGTGGAACAAAAGGCCATTTCATCACACGAACTGGGCCACACCCCGCTTCTTTGGACAGTGTGAGAGAGAAAGACAGCCGAGAGAAAGGCCAGAGGGGGCTCCTGCGCCTGGCCATGCTGGGGACAGAAGCGCATGCCTCGGGGAGCACAGGAGCGCACCATGTTACTGCAGCACCCTGGAGGCTGAGGCAGGAAGATCGAAAGTTCGAGACCAGCCTGGGCAATTTAGTGACACAGTGAGGCCCTGTCTCAAATAAATAAAGCCCCAGGGATTTAGCTCAGTGGTTCCGCCACCTGCCTCCCAAGCACAAGTACCTGAGTTTAATCCCCGGTATCAACAAAAACAAAATAAAAAATAAAAAGAACTGGGGATGAAGCTCAGTGTAAAAGCCCTGGGTTCAATCCCCAGGACAAAAACCCCATAAAAGTCACAATATCTCGTAGGTCCGTGCAAGCCTTGGGAAGAGTGACACTGTTAACTCTATGCCCTTTGTTGCAAGGGTCCAAGCCAGGTACGGCCCAGGGCGGCTCCCGGGGTCGGCCACTGCCCCTCCTGGGGACAGCACCACAGGAAGCAACTGGACAGCTGAAAAGTCCACCAGACATCCCCTAGCTCTCGGCTACTATTTTCAAATTTTATAATTTTTTTGCCATGGAAAAGAATTTATTTTCTGTAAATTTGAAATTTAAAAATGATAGCTGACAACTCTCAGAAATTGAAACAATAAAATAAAGTTTTTGATAAGAATATCCCCTTTAGTCTGGGTCATAATGAACAAGCCATTAAGGTGCTAGGTAAAAAAAAAAAATTCTAAATGATTGTTCAGTGTAAGTAATAATCTAACTTTTTTACTTAAGAAAACCTGGCTATGCTGAAGACAATTTTGTGATTTTTAAAAGGAGGTATGATGGGCCAGGGGCTCAGTGGTTTCGCCACCTGCTGCGCAAGCACAAGGACCTGAGTTCGAGCCCCGTTACAAAAAGAAAAAGAGGTACAGCCGGGCATGGTGGTGCACACCTGTCATCTCAGCACTAGGGAGGCTGAGGCAGGAGGATCGCCATGAGTTTGAAGCCAGCCTGGGCTACACAGTGAGACCTTGTGTCAAGAAAAACAAAAAACAGCCACTGAAAAATCAAATTCCAAACTAATTCTCCAGGTACATAGAGAGCCTTGTGGATAACATCAGATTCAAATTTTCCAGTTCTTACTGTTGCTGGCACCACTGGAAACCAGAACCAGCTCTTCTATACTGTGCGTGGAACATCGCAAACTCGTTCAAACCTCTCTCCGTGCCCAGAGGGAGCACCCACGTGTCCTGTGTCCTTCACACTGCCACCTGCCAGCTCCAGGGAAATCCACACATTTTTTGGGGTGAGGAAGAGCCTGTGTCACCCCAGCCCGGGACAAGACACCTTTGGCACCAGGTGCAGGGCGCCGTGAGCGGATGAGGAAAGCCAGGCCGAGAAAGGCAAAGGCTGGGGGCTGGGACAAGACGGAAACCAGCCGCGCCAGTTCTAAAGGGGTTGGGGGTGAGGAGGTGGTGGCCATCTAGACCCTTCTTTAAGGGCTATTTCTGTTACCTGGCCTTCTCTGCCTCACAAGTGCCCTTCCCTTCAAAGGAAGACAAAGCTGGGTGTGGTGGTGCTCAGGCCTGTCATCCCAGCACTCGGGAGGCTGAGGCAGGAGGATCCCCACAAGTTGGAATCCAGCCTGGGCTACATAGAAAGACTCTGTCTCAAAAAAATACACATCAATGAACACAAAAGTTTACAACACATGGACTCCGAGGGACATATTGAAAGCATAGCAAGGGACAATACTCTGATCAAAATGACTATCCATACATCAGACAGAAGTTTGCATCAAAGAGCACAACTTTTTAAAAAGTCCTCTGAGACCAGGGGATTTAGCTCAGTGGTGCTGCCATCTGCCCTGCAAGCGCAAGGACCAGAGTTCGTTCCCAGGTGCCAAAAATAAATAAATAAAAGTCCTCTGAAATGACACTGGGTCACGTGGTCTCATCTTCCCCTGACCACACTTAGATAGCAAGCTTCTGTTTTGTCACCTCTCAACAGGAAACGGAGGCACAGGAAGTTAAGCCGCTCACCCCCAGCAGGCCGGCAGGCCTGTGGCAGGCGAGTCTGCGTCCCGGGCCATGGGTCAGGCCCAGACCACCTTCTAGGTACCGTCTCCAGTTCTCAATTCCCCCTCAGACTGCTCTCCTCAGAGTTTTGGTGTTTTTTCTTTTTATTTCTTTTGGTACCGGGGATCAAACTCAGGACCTTGCGCTTTCGAGGCAGGTATGGCGCTGCTGAGCTAAACCCCTGGCCCCAGATTTTTGTTGTTTGAGAAAGAGTCCTCTATGTAGCGGAGATGAAAATTTTGCCCTGGTCCTCATCTTTTGGTAACTGTCACGCCTCCCACACTCAACTAAGGACGAGTACCAAGGTACTACTGTGTGTGTGTGTGTGTGTGTGTGTGTGTGTATTTTTTTTAATATGGAACGCATCACGAATTTGTGTGTCATCCTTGCACAGGGGCCATGCTGATCTTGTCTGTTTTGTTCTGATTTTAGTATATGTGCTGCCAAAGCGAGCACTACTTTTAAGGGAAAATTGATGTTTTAAATCAAGTCTTATAAAAATTCATTTTAATAGAACTTTAATTAATTTATTTATTTTTTGGTACCGAGGAATCGAACTTGGGTCCTTGTACTTGTGAAACAGGTGGCAGAACCACTGAGCTAAATCCCCAGCCCTTAATAGGACTTTAATCCCCATGCGCTCTGTTTTTCTGCTCCTTGTCCGCGCAGCCAGTGAAGTGAGTCACGTTCCCCTGAGCAGCCAGCCTGACCCCGTGCTCCTCACTTGGAAGCAGCTCCTGCTGGCAGGGTGCATGGTGGCCAAAGGACAGGAGGTAACACCTCCCTCTGCTGAGGCAAGGAGCCAAGCAGGCTGGTCAGCGTCCGCTGCATCATCCTACCAAAGGGCCTCTGAGCCCCTCTCATTTCGTCCCAAAGTTCTCTGGACTGACCTCATGGGTAGCCGTCCAGAACATCCTAGAAAGTCCTAGGACCTAGGGAGTCTGGCCCTGTTCTCCCATGACAGCCGCACTGCTCATGTCCCCAACCCGGAGTCTGAAAGGAGATCCCAAGAGAAATGCCTTCCCGCCTTCACCTCCAAATCACAGTCACACAGGGTGAGCGGCCCAAGGCCAGGCCCAATACTGTAGCAAAGTACTGATCACTTCCTCCAGTGAGTCCCCGTTTTATCCTTGTTCTCAGGTCCACGGTATTTCTCTTTATTTTGCCCACTCTTGTAAATGGCTACAGGACTCGGGTCCTTGTCACTGAAACACGACCTTGCAGATGTATGCTGGCGCCTCCCAGCCCCCCACTGCCCCATCATGGAGGTGTGTCCCCTACCTTTCGCTGAGGCTTCTCCACAGCTGGGCACCTGCAACGGGGAGAAGCAAATGTGAGCCGGAGCTGAGGCCCTGTCCTCCCAAGGCCTCCCCGACTAGAAAGGAGCATTCCAGGCCACCAGAAGCGGGACACTTAAAAGCGTGCAGCACTAGCAACATCAATCATCTGGGGTGGACTAGCAGAGCCATGACTAACTCCAGCCATGGGTGAACTGAGATCCTGCAACATCCAAAACACATGGTTCCTGCTGCAGGGACCAGAATGTCCAAACAGGTGCTGCAGGAATTATGCGAGAGGCACAGCCGCTGAAGGAAACGTCAAGAGAGTGTTCATATTAGGAGCAGCTCTGAAGGGGAGTCCTGGCATAGAGCTGACAAAAAGGAGAATGGACGCCAAGAGTCAGGGTGCTCGCCTGTAATCACGGCACTGGAGAGGCTGAGGCAGGAGGACTGCTGTGAGTTCAAGGCCACTCTGGGCTAAATGGTGAGTTCAAGGCCAGCCTAAACTACATAGCAAGGTCCTGACTCAAAAACCGGAGAGACAGACAGACCGAGAATGGGAATATGGGTACAAGTATTTATTCTTTAGATGTTGTGAACTTATACCTAGGCTCAAATGAAGTCAACAGAAAAATATGCATTCTTTGCTTTCCAAAATCTCCAGCAACTGTCTTTGTTTGACTAAATCTTAATGTAACACTCTCAGCTACCAGATTTAAGGAAGCTTAAAGTAAGAAATGACTATGAGGTTGGGCGTGGTGGTGCACGCCTATAATCTCAGCACTCAGGAGGCTGAGGCAGGAAGATCACCATGAGTCTGGGGCCAGCCTGGGCTACATGATGAGCTCAAGGGCAGCCTGAACTACACAGTAAGACACTGTCTCAAAAAAAGGAAAAAAGAACAAGAAGGAGGAGGAGGAGGAGAAAGAGGAAGAGAAGAAAGAAATAGAAGAAGGAGGAAAACGAAATGGCCATGAGGAAGTTTCTACATTTTCCCTCAAACTAAAGGTCGAAGATGTTGCCCTTAGGTTCTTCAATATCTTCTACCAAAGATCTGTGTAATAAAATCTTCTTACTTCCAGAAAAAAAAACTTTCTCAAAACTGTTTGCCGGTGGCATTCTCTAATGGCTCCAGAGCCCCGTGGAGAAATCGGGTGAGGGGCGGCAGCCTCTCTGCTTGCTCATCCTATTGTTAAGAACGGGTGCAATGAATACGGCGATGGGAAGGGAAGTGGGGCACTGCAGGAGTAAGGACAGCATTCCTGCAGCAACTGACACACAGAAGGAGAAAGTCCAGCCAAAGACAGGGCCGAGCAGAAGAGTTAAATCCAGTCCCAGAGCTGAGTCAGCAACACAGGGGCCAGGCAGGGCGGGCGGAGGGTGCAGGGACCGCAGTCTTGAGACTTGGCCAGTGGTGGACGTACAGTACTTCCAAAGGCCAAGGTGAAGGAGGAGGCTGCCCAGCAGGTACTGAGAGCCAGGCCCCTGGAGAGGCAAGGAGGACTGGAGTTCACAGGCCGGGTCCCTGCTAGGTCTTCATTCCCACCTACCAGGGTGCTGAGGATATGGTGGAGAGGACAGTGTGGGTTTCCCATTCCCAGGAAGGAAGGTGTGAAAAGACAATGATTTCAAATGACCCTGGGGTCATGGGGATGATCCAGCCACAGGGCAGGAGGTGCAGATCTCACAGGGAGCCTGGGGTGGGACTGGAAGGGGTGATTACATCCACGGAGGGGGGGAGGTCAAAGACAAAGTTAAGGATGCAGGGTTAGGGTTAGAGTTAGAGGGTTAGGGTTAGAGAGTTAGGGTTAGAGCCTTAGGGTTAGGGTTAGGGTTAGAGAGTTTGGATTTTGGCTAGAGGGTTAGGGTTAGAGCCTTAGGGTTAGGGTTAGGGATGGGGTTAGGGTTAGGGTTGGAGGGTTAGGTTAGGATTAGAGTTAGAGAGTTGGGGTTATGGTTAGAAGGTTAGGGTTAGGGTTAGCGTTAGAGGCTTAGAAGTTTAGGGTTAGGGTTAGAGGGTTACAGTCAGGGTTAGATGATTAGGGTTAGTGGTTAGGGTTATCGACTGGGGTTAGCGTTATGCCTAACCACCTCACCAGCACACCTGGTTTTGACTTTGAACTTTTTAATCTTTAATGACTGCACCTGAGGGAGGATAGAATGGTTGTTCTCGCCTGTGATCTCAGCAGTGGGGACCTGAGGCAGGAAGATCACCCTTAGTTCAACATCAGCCTGGGCTACAAGAGTCAGTTCAAGGTCAGCATGGACTACATTGCCAGATTCCCTCTCCAAAAACGGTAACCAAAAAAATATTAAGAAGTTCGGATTCAACCATATAATAGTGTACATCTAGTTCACAGCATTTCATATCTTGAAAATTCGGTAAAAACATTAAAACTGAGGTGTAATTAAATTCGTGGCCTCTGAAATTTATTTTCTGAGGTCACAGAAGCGGCTGGGGCAAGCCGACCGAGCTGAGAAGGGAGCACAGCTGCCCGCCTGCCGGGCAGCCCGGTCCTCCCTTCCTTTCTGCTGCGACTGGGCCCAAGCATCTAAGGGGAGCAGCTGCTGGCTCGGATGGAAGCCCCCGAGTCACCAGGCCGCCTACAGATGTGACTTGGAGCCAGTTCTGCAGCTCCTGGGATGAGATCCTGGCAGCCGTGTGCTGTGCCGTGAAAGGATCTCTGTCCTCGGACTTTCTCCCACACAGAGCAGGCAGCAGAGCATCTCCAGGCACAGATCACAGGGCTCTGAGACTGCACAGTGAGGAATCCTGCTTTCGTCTCTGTCTTTTCATGCCCAGAAATGCTTTGTTCACAGCCATGCCACCCAGTGAAAACCTCGAGAAAGATGGGCTAGGGGGAGGATGAGGCTCCACTTGGCAGAGGGGCCAGAGTGTCTGGGTCCCCACCAGAGCCTATGAAGGCTGGCACAGGAAGTCATGGCACAAGCCTGGTGTGGTGGTGCATACTTGTGATCGATCCCAGCACTCAGGAGGCTGAGGCAGGAGGATCACTGTGAGTTCGAGGCCAGCCTGGGCAACCTAGTGAGACTGTCTCAGAAAAAGAAAGTCCTCAAACAGACCAATGGATGGGTAGCCAGAGTGTGCCGTCCTGGGTGTGTCAGCCCCGTGTCCCCTCCTGTGGCTGGCTCTATGGAAAGAGTAAGGTTGGTCCCACTTTGCGGGATCAGTAACTGCAGTGGAGGAACAGGCTGAGGGCTCTCCTCTGGGCCCTAGGACTGACCCCTCGTGTCTGTGGCTGGCTCTCCATATGGGAAGTGCAGGGGGTGCTGGGCCCCTGGGGGCCCTGGTGCACCTACCAGTGTCCGCTGATGGGAGAGGCTGAGGGAGACGTGACACAGACAGAGGAGAAGCAGTGTAGCCATGAAAGCAGAGTGCGGGTATGAGGCCACAGCCACGGGCCACTGCCAGCACCCAGCAGAAGCCGGAGGACAGGAAGGGGCCCTCCACTGGGGCTGCAGGGGGTGCGGCCTGACACCTCCGCCGCGGCACCCTGATACTAAGCAGAAGAAATGGCTGTCACGTCAAGCCCCTGGGTCCATGGTCACTTGTGACACAGCCATGGGAAGTTAACACAGTCTATGCTGTGGCTTCTCATGGGAAGAAACAGAATGGACTCGCTCAAGAAGGAGACTCTTGGGGCAGCACTCGAGAGGCGGAGGCAAGAGGGGTGCTACGAGGCCAGCCTGGGTGCAAAGGGAGACCCGAGCTGGAAAAAACGGGAGACAGGGAAGGCGGGGGGAGTTGGCTCTAGGCAGGCACCCTTTCAACCCCACCACCTCAACTTTTAAAAGGACTGAATCGGGCCGGGGATTTAGCTCAGTGGGTTCGCCGCCTGCTGTGCAAGCACAAGGACCAGAGTCCGATTCCCAGTACCAAAAAAATAATAAAAATTAAAAAAATAAAAGGACTGAATCTTCACATCTTATAAATAAGAAATCTCTTATGAAGACGGGCAGAGGCTCTGGGGGTAGGGGAAAGGGGAGTAAAAATGATGAGGATGCAGTATGTACCTATACCGGTTCCCCAAGATGAATGTCATTACTATATGTCACAATCATGTACTACTAATAAAAAATACACTCTGACGTTTGGATGATGCTCAAGCTAGAAACTACAGGGCCAGAGCCTTGCACCTGGGAGTCTCCATCTACGGGTGCACGAAATGCATTAACCAGGCAAAATATGAATATGTTCTCTGTCCAAAAAGGAATGACTCACCTCCAAAGCTGATGACATGCTAACTAACGTAAAAGAGTCTTTCAAAAAAACATTCACACAATGATCTAGATTTTTGAATTTTTGTCCATCTACACAAACTAGCTCAAATACTAGACGAGGCCTCACCAATCACAGAGGAGGTTAATTCAAATACACAATATATTTAAATTATTCAACAAAACTTTAAACAATCCTTTTAAACAATTCAAGTTCTCACTTGTAAATTGAATGTTTAAAATTAATTCACTTTTCATCAGGAACTCATTTAAAACTTTTTATTATCATTGATTTTTTTTTTGGAACCAGGGATTGAACTCAGGACCTTGCACTTGCGAGGCAGGCACTGGAACCACTGAGCTAAATCCCTGGTCCCCTACTATCATTGATTTTTAAGCCCTTCATAGCTGGTTTTTTTACTAAGGCACAGAAAATGTGTTTTCCAATAGCCCAGTTTCTTTCTTTCTTTTTTTTTTATACCGGGGACTGAACTCGGGACCTTGCACTTTCGGGGCAGGCACCAGAACCACTGAGCTAAATCTCCAGCCCTACAATAGCCCAGTTTCTTATGTCAGATGCAGTAAATATTTAACTGTTATCCTCCCTGTGAACTTAAATACCAAAATGGTATTTAACACAAGACTTAAAGCTGAGAAAGAAACCAAAACATACCAACTGTGTGCCCAGTAGCAGTAGGTATGACGACAGAACTATCAGTTATATAAATGATTACACTGAAAACAGCAGCATCAATGCCTGTAAGATCTATTACTTTGCTCCTGTCCAGAGGATTGATAGGTCAAAAGGCCTACACAAAAACCAGAAATTCAGGTCCGGGGATTTAGCTCAGTGGCGCTGCGCCTGCCTCAAAAGCACACAGTCCTGAGTTTGATCCCCAGTACTGGAACAAAAAACAAAAAACCCCCAGAAATTCAGAATATAGAATATTCAGTGCATAAAAATGGAGCTTCCTTACCTCTTGTTCGAGACAGAACCATATCCTTTATTATTTGCATAATGACACGTCCAAGAATCATGACAGAAATCAAATGATAAACTCTCCACGGAGTCAGCGCAAGGAACCTATAGCAGAAAAACAGGCAAATCAATATTTTAATGTCAGGATTGTCATCTTTAAAAAAAAAAAATTAGGTTTACTTTGGGCCGGGGATTTAGCTCAGTAGTTCCACCACCTGCCTTGCAACTACAAGGTCCCAAGTTCGATCCTTGGTACCAAAAAAAAAAATTAGGTTTACTTCCCATCCCAGAAACAAATTTTAAAAATGTATTCACTGATGATTTCCCGTTTCAGAAACCACCCCGTGACCACATGAAATTATTTAATACCAAAATGGCATCTTTTGAAAACAGCATGAAGAATCCAATTTGCTCTGTCTTTAAGATCGCTGCCTTCTTGTCCACCTGCCCACCGCCTCTCCAGAGTAAAACACACTGCAAATTCACAGACCCTGCAGGGCCTTTTATGAGCGACAGAGGAGAGGAATGGCTGGGAAGTCACCAGAAGCCTAAGCCTTCACATCAGACTAGGGGTTGACCCTCTTTTGCACAACTGGCCAAGCCAAGCACGCCAATTAACATTCACTCTGACGTAACCAGAATCTCAGAAAGGTGAACTGAAGCAGAGTGCACCTGGTGCAGGACTCCATGGAGAAGTAAAGAACACGCGTTACAGCCTTCCCCACAAGCACGGGCCGAGCTAAGGAAGCCCACGCAGTGTCTTAGGTGCCGTGTCAGAACGCAGGCAAAGAGCAAGATGCGCCCAGGAAAGAACCATAAACCCCACATCAGGCAGGATTTTATGAAAGCAGCACCAGAACTCAGCCTGGGAGGACAGATGTAATTCTGAGGAAAGCAAAGGCTGCTCCAACGGGGAGCTACAACGTGAAGAGAAGACGCATCGGTGAATCGTGAGCTGCCAGTGGCCTTCCAGGGAGTCCTGGCGGCCTCGGCAGGAAGTAAAGGCAAAAGAAGAGGGCTGGAGAATGGCAGAGCAACCGCAGGGACAGGAGGCAGCAGGTGTTGGCAGGCCTTGTGTGATACACCAGGCTGCTGGTCTTCATGCTACAGGAATGGAGAGGGAGCCAATGGTATAGGGCAGGAAAATGAAATGAGTGTGATTCTGAGGTGGGCAGATCGGAAGTTTGGCCACATAATATGCTTGAAGGAAAGAGACCCACGTAAGCTGCCCTGAGAAGCTGAAGGTACAGCCCTCCCGACAAGGGGGGACCCAGCTCCCAGCCTGGCACTAATGCCAAGCGCCTGTGCAACCAGGGCCAGAAGAATAAGCAGGCAAACAAGGTCGGTGCTTCATAAACAATGGTCTACAGCTGCCACCAGGAGAAGCTGGTTAAAGAAGATTCTCAGGGGCTGGGGATTTAGCAGCGGTTACGCTGTCTGCTGCGCAAGCACAAGGACCCGAGTTCGATCCACGCTACCAAAAAAAAAATAGTAGAATGCTTTGAGCTGGGGATTTAGCTCAGTGGTTCTGCTGCCTGCCCCGCAAGCGCAAGGTGCAGAGTTCAATCCCCAGTACCAAGAAAAAAAGCAGATTCTCAGGCCCCAGGCCTCGCCTCCCAAGTCTTCTGAGACCGGTGGTTTTGGTGTCATTAATAGTGTTTGAACCCAATCAGTATTTATTTATGAATTATTACCCACACTGGTATTATTATACCATCCATGCGCTGGGCTCACATAGTTTTTCCACACCATAATGAACTGGCAGTTTACAAAGTTTTTGGTAGTGATCAATGGTAAGACGTTTACTTACATCTAAATACATATAACTGAGACTAAAGTTTCAAAAATCAGCGATTATCCTTACAATGTGTAATACCTTGGGATGCTTTCCACTCAACTTGCACCTATGTTTCAGTGCTGAGTGCGACTCACTGAAGGGATGCAGGGCCACTACTGAACTGTAAGTCACAGTTCAGCTCACAAACATCACGGGAATCTGAGTGTTGGATTGGGATGCTTTATCAGAATGGCTGTCCTTGTAGAGGCGTCACAGTCCGAGGAACCCAGAGAGTCCCCTTAAGTCGAAAAGTCTTTACAGCTAATCAGAAAGTCACTGAAGTATCTTTCTAAAAACAAAGAAATGCAGAAGCAATTGAAGCAATGAAAGCTGTTAGTTATTCTTAGTGGAAGTTCCAAACTTCCAAGAATAAATTAGGTAATGACTAATAAATTAGGACTTCGACGAGGGAATGCCCATGGCAACTCCAAAGCACACCCTGGGGTCCCCTCACTGTCCTGGGCAAGGATCCAGTCAGCGTCTCAGCCCAGGGCCTTGTGGCCTTTAAGAACCCTCAATCAGCTTAGCAGGCAACCCCAGAATTCCTGCAAAGTCACGCCAACACTGTATGGGCCTGTGTAGCTGCTTCCTTAGTAGGTTAGACTCTTCTAGTCCCAAGAACAAAGAAAGAAATGCTTGAGAAGCAAACTCCAAGATGAGTAATTTTTATCTGCAAGACCTGTGCATAGCTGGAACTCTAATTATGCATAATGTTTAAGATGATTCATCTCAGGGTTCTAGGTTAAAATATGTAGCCAAATCCTTTATTTAGACCTGTGATTTGCAGTTAAAATCCCTTTTTAATTTCTTAAAATTTTTCTTAGTACATGTTTACAGAACATAGAAATATCTGTGAGGTTTTTTTTTCTTTATAAGAACTGCCTAATATTAGGGAGGGCCTGGGTTGTCAGACAGTTGATGTTGTTTTTTTTAAAGTATTTTGCTTTGATTAATTTCAAACATAAACAAAAAGAGAAGCCAGAGTATAGTACACTCAGCTTCTACAAGCCTCCACTCATGGCCATGCAGTTTTCCCTACACTCCCACTCAGTAAGCACGCCCATCCAACACAGGCCTCTATCCTCCCAAAGGGCTTAATTTTTATTTTCATCAGTACGTGTTTGCAGTATATAATGATCCCATCCTCACGGGGAGCTGGTTCATGTACATAACGCATCCTAATTCTTTTCTCATGCCCCGCCCCCATCTCTGGTGTCTTTCCCAAAGGACTTCCATTCCCTATCCCAAAAGATTTTTTTTAACCAAACAACAATACCACTATCGTGGCTAAAAAAAAAAAAAGTTTTGGCTTTTAAGATCATCAGATATCCTATTAACACTCATATCTCCCCAATCACTTTTGTACACTTATGGGAAAACAGAAAAGGGAGGGGGAACAAGACAGGATTCAAAATCATCAGGCATCGAAGTTGGTAGATGGAGGCTTTAGGTTTCTTGTATTTCTAGGTCTGCTGGCATCTCTTCTTTTTTAATTCTTGAAAACTTTTACAGAAGAAACAAGCTCATTTGCTCCCTGATTCTGGGACTAGTTCATTGCATCCTTGTGGTTTAGTTTGAATTTCCTGGTTCTATGTGCGTGTGTGCACACATGCATGCACCACCTCCTGCAGCCTGGCAGCTGGATCTAGAAGTTTGATCGGATTTAGGTTCTTTTTCTGTTTCCTGTAAAATCTTACAGTAGGTGGTGGTATGTCTTCCCACCAGGACGCAGGTCCAGCCTGGGTGTCTGGCATCTGGGGTGACAGCACCAGCCGTTAATGATTCCTGAAGTGCCTCGTTCGCTCCTCCTGGCCACAGGGAGCGGGCGGCCTTCACTCTGCTTCAGGAACTCCCTGGCCGCCAACCCTATGGAGGAACCTTCGAGGTCAGTATGTGAGCAGCCGGGAGATGCAGCTCAGAGGAAAAGCACCATCGGTACTTGACTTTTTCCATAATGAGGCTGTTGCCTGGCATCCTCCTAAGGTAACTAAGTTAGTTTCTTCATTCCTTCCTCTTAGTGTTATTAAAAATTCAAGAACTGAACCTACGATGTGTTTCTGTCCACAGTGGCATTATCCTTACTGATCCTCAAGCTGCCATAGCTCCACTGGTGATCCCTGAGTTCCTTTTTGGAAGGACTTGAACGGGTATGGAAAACATAACATTTACAACTGCAGTTTGAAATGCTGGAAGGAGTATAACTCAACTTTCTAGTGAGATCCTTTGTTCACCCACAATTCTCTCGAAAAGGCTTGATAAAATTTGCTAGGTTTACAAACAAAATAATGTTTTATCAGTTAAAACGGAAAGTCCAAAGAAAAATGGGGATTTTGAAGGTGTAACTTTATGAAATCAAAACTCGTGCATTAAAAAGCAGTCAAACAAAATCATCTCCAAACCAATTTTTACATGAAAATTATCTTATAGGACATTAAAAAAAAAATCTGTGCCAGCTGTCACACCCTCTGAGAAACGCTGTCACTCTCTGGAATCATGGAGCAGGGGCAGCCCAAGGGAGTCAGATTTCCCCTTCATCTGATCCGTGAGTCCTGGTGGAGTCCTTCTCACGGCCCTCCTTAACCAGGTCTCACCCTGGAAGGCCAACTCCCCGAAGAGCAGAGCCACCTCCTGGGGTGCACGATCATGGCTACTGTCACCCCAAGGAACATGGGTCGGACACGCAGAGCTGCTGGGAGCCCAGATGACCAAACCCCAGCCTGCCCAGCACTCACACACAGGGGACAGCAGGCAGTTAGCATCGCACTGAGCCGAGGGCCACTCAGGACTCGGTGGGAGTGGAAGAGTCACTACCCGCAGAAGGAAAGCCAGAGAATGCTCTCAGGACAAGGTGGCCCCATCTCTGGGGCCCACAAAGATCTGGCCAGGTGGGAATAAGGTGAGTGAGGTCCAGGCGGGAGAGCAGTGGGTGCCAAGGGAAGAAGGCAAGAGAGCAACTTGCCCTGGACACCAACCCCCTCGCCGGGGCCTCCGATCTGTGGGTGAGTAAAGTAGCTCGTGTGCAGGGAGCAGAAATCTCACTAAGGATCTCACACACTCCTTCATCTAAGGAGGCCACTACCATTATGACCCCTGGACAGATGAGCAGAGAGTTCCAAAATGTGCTTGAGGCTCCAAGACAAGGGGAGGTAGACCCCCATGGGAATGCAGGCAGCCTGGCTAAAGCCTAGCTTGTTTGTTTTGTTTTGTTTCGTTTTTAGAGACACGGTCCCCTCAATACGTAGTTCAGACTGGGCTTGAACTCATTATG